CTGCTAACAGTACCATGCTGCTAACAGTACCATGTTGCTAACAGGACCATGCTGCTAACAGTACCATGTTGCTAACAGGACCATGTTGTTAACAGGACCATGCTACTAACAGGACCATGTTGCTAACAGGACCATGCTACTAACAGGACCATGTTGCTAAAAGTACCATGCTGCTAACAGTACCATGCTGCTAAAAGGACCATGTTGCTGAAAGTACCATGCTGCTAACAGGACCATGTTGCTGAAAGTACCATTCTGCTAACAGGACCATGTTGCTGAAAGTACCACACTGCTAACAGTACCATGCTGCTAACAGTACCATGCTGCTAACAGTACCATGTTGCTAACAGGACCATGTTGTTAACATAACCCCACTGCCAACAGAACCACTCTGCTAATAGGATCGTGCTGCTGTAGATGTATTTTGTTTTCACTTTTTGCGCTTTATTTTGTATTTTATTGCCTGCTTTGGTATTTCTTGTTTGTTTTTTTTGGCGAGTCGAGACGGTTCTTCTCGTCCTTAGCCTTTCATTGCATTGTTGACCTTGTGTTGACCTTGTTCATATGACAATAAACCTAAACCTCACATATTTTGTTCACGCTCACAAGACAGATGGAGAATATTTCCAATTCTCCTCCCCTCCCTGATTACTGGGCCTGAAAAGCGTCCAGTATGTCCCTGCGTGGGGCGTGACTCCCAGTCGACACTGTCCTGTATCTTTGTTGTTTAATGTGACAAAGTAGAAGTTCCACCTCACCACCAGTCCGCTGTTGTATTTACCATCTTTTTGGACGATGTCTTAACCGAGAAAGCCCTCAGGTTAGAACCCCGAGCTGAAGGATCCTCAGTTGTTCCAGGTTGGGTGAAGTGAGTCAACGGGACGTTTGTTTGGGTCCAGACAGCCGCTTGCGTAAATAGAACAGGTCATGTGATTACTGGGCAGAGCTGCTTCACAGACGTGCTGTCTGGGAAGAGCAGATAATATTCCTGCAGCCTGCTCGCTCCTCTGCAGAGTGATCCACTCGTCACCCCTTCCACTGCTGACAAACCCAGCGTGACTCTCTCACATATTTTCTCCCCTCCCCCACCCCTCACCGGCCTCCCTGTCATGTCGAGGCCTGAGTTTGAAACTCTGACACGATTCCCCGCAGCTGTGGATTCTTGTGACACCGTTACAGTTACTCATCTGTCATAGTTTCACTTTGAAAACAAAACGAACTCAAAATAAAGTCGCTCGTGGAATCTGGACGTCTGCTCTGAGTTTCCATCCCCCACAGCTTCAAGAGTCCTCCTTCAGGAGGAGGTGGGTGCGTTCTGATGACTCAGTTTCTCCATGCATGCCACCCGGAGCCTCTTGGTTCAGACACAGCAAACCTAATGTCTGTTTACACGATGAAAACGGCTGTTGGTGACTCTGCAAACAGCCTCTGACGTATGAGCGGTTACTGTCAGGCCTCTGGGAACCAGCACCAGGTGAGGCTGGAGTGAAGTGAAGCATCACAAGGTGTATTTTAGAAACCCTCATGTGCGTGCAGAGAGTGAAAAGCTGCTCTGTGAGGCGAGTGTTCAACACACGTCGCGGTTAGCGATGAAAACGCTCCAGTTTCCCTGAGAAAATAAACATCTAATAATGTTTTTTAAACATTCGCCTTCTTTTTAAAGGTACCGTTTAGGCCATGTTTACAGGAGAACCTTTTTTTTCAATGTTTATTTGGGGTAATAAACAAAAAAATTAGTGGGTTTACACAAAAACACTTTAGTTTCCATGTCAGTCAGGTTGCCAGATAAGAAATGATGAACTATAGTACTATGGCTGTAAAATGATAGTGTTTTGACCTAAACTGTCATATGTGCTGAGTAAAGATATTCTAAGATGAGGTGTGTGTTGTGTTTGTTGAACATGTGCACAGAAAAGGAGGGGGTAAATAAGACATTTTTTTTTATTTATCTGGCAACCCTGATGCAGGGCTCCGCTGCATTCATCGTGCATGCAGCGTCTGCATGACTGTTACGTCCAAACTGGTGAATACAGTTGTCCCTCGATGCGTGACGATTCGTCTTTTGCGGACTCACTCTTTCCCGAGATTTCAGTGTCAGACTGTACACGACACACGATTTGCAATGGGGAAGACAGACCCCGCCCCCTACTTTCTCTTTCTGAGGCTGTCTGTCAAAGCAGAGGCGATGGTGAAAGACAGACCCCTGCCACCTCCTTTCTCTTTCTCTGCTGTGACAGCCTCAGAAAGAGAAAGTAGGGGGCGGGGTCTGTCTTTCCGTATCGCTACTGCTCAGGGAGCAGGGATGAACAAATGTAGAATATCGGAGAAAATGCTTAGGTGGAAAAATAAGAGCGAATCAGTTTAAAAAAAGACCGAGTGGCTGAGCATGGCTGAGTGCGGCTCACTCGGGTATAATAAGACAGACATCCCACCCCCTCCTTTCTTTTTCTGACGCTGTCTGTCACAGAAGAGAAAGGAGGGGGCAGGGTCTGTCTTATACCTGAGTGAGCCTCACGAGCGGCATATATTGTTTAAGATAATCAAGCGCAAATATTGTTAAGAACATTGCAAGAGTGTTTACATTTGAAAAAAACGTAAATAGCTAAAGTTTGGCTAAGATTATCAACGATCACCGTTTTGTAGGGCAACACAATTATTGTGAAACTCCTGCAGGATTTTGATTTTCTAAAATTCAATAATCAGAAAAAACTTGTCATTTGAAGTTTTTCTGATTAGGCTACATTAAAGGTTAAAAAGATATCAGTCGTTGGAGGAATGCGTGTCCTTGTGATGGGATTTATTGTGTCCTGGACGACTGAGGATCTTCACCAGCACGCAGAAATGTTTTAGCTTTTTCGTTGAATTTATATTTAAATTTTTTTTCCACATCTAAGTTCCTTTAGGCACCAGTTCAGAGACGACCAACAAATCTTAGCTCGTCTGCGGTTCGTCTGTCGCTGCCGAACGAGGTCAGGAAGTTCGAACGTTTAACTGACGATGATTAATGATTGAAGCAAAATAAAGCATTTTAACCCTCCTGCTTCCCTTGGGTTCAAACTGCCTTGTGGGTCATTTTGACCCAAGGGCAGCAGGAGGGTTAAAATACAAGATTCTGGATTAGTTAAATAGTTGTGAGCATCACAAAAAAAGGTGTAATTTCTTCACTTCCCTTTAGCTATCACCATGAAACCTTCAGCGCGAGTTGTTTGCTGAACATGCTACGTTATTCAAAAGTTAGTATCAATATTAAATCAGTTATTGTTTATTAATTAACTCGTAATAACACGAGAGTTTGTTACTGCACGCCTGCAAGAACATCTCAGTCTGACTCACTCATCTGATTGTAGCTACAGCAAACTAGATGCTGTGACTAAACTTCCTCAAAACAGTCTTTGGTTGTCTCCATGGCAACCACACACGCCTAATAACACAGATTAGGGAAGAGGAGCCCCAGATTAGAATGGAGATCTCGAGAAGGAAGCAGAAATGTTGGATGAGCTTCTGGTTCGCTTCACGGAGGAGTGAGTTCAGCTGGTCAAAGCAGATGGCCGCTCGTCCTGAGCCTGGTTCTGCTGGAGGTTTCTTTCTGTTCAAAGGACGTTTTTCCTTCCCACTGTCTCCTTTGTGCTTGCTCAGGATGGGAGACTGTGATAAACTGAAGCTGCAACACAATCTGCTGCTTCCTTAGATAAAGAACTTTTACTAATTGTCTTTTTTGTGTGCATGTGAATGTTTCTGTTCAGTGCCCTGAGATGACTTCTGTTGTGACTTGAGCTGTAGAAATAAACTGAATTATTGGGTCGAGCAGAACCGTCGGATGAGAGAAATTACGCAGCACTTTCAGGCCGTTTCCTCCGGATCTCCATATATGGTCACTGTTCCGTGGGAAGAAAAGGCGAATAAAGAAGCTTTAAGTCGTTTTTACTATGTTTTTGTTTTGTTTGTTTGTTTTTGACAACAAAGCAACTCCAACTAAACAGAGGCGCACGGTTCCAGATCTCATTCTGCCTGTTTGTTTCTCCAATCTGGGCTGGGATTAAATAGTCCTGAACGCAGATTACAGCTTCAATCCGAACTCCAAGCTGCAGTTTGACAATGAAAAGGACCAAATGTGGCTGATAACAGGAACTTTACCTGAATGTGGAGGTTTCTGAAGGAGGAATGGATGGACCGGTCTGAGCCTTCCGAGCTGCAGCGGAACCAGAGAGGCGTTCAGGCGGAGAGAGGAGCCGCAGAGCCCGGACACTCCCTGAACACGCCCCCTCCCTGAGAGGGGGAGGTGTGCGACACTCCCTTAACACGCCCCCTCCCTGAGAGGGGGAGGTGTGCGACGCTCCCTCAACACGCCCCCCTCCCTGAGAGGGGGAGGTGTGCTGGTAGTTTGACACTTTTTGGTTTTATTTAGCTACTTTTAGCATGCCATTTGCTAATCTGACCCTTTAGCTATTTTTAACTTGTAGATAGCATTTTGCTACTTTAAACGTTTAGCTTTTAGCTGTTTAGATAGCCATTTGATACTTTAAGCTTTTAGTTAGTTTTTTTTTTTTTGTTGGTATTTTAGCTTTAGACAACCCTTTGCTACTTTAAGTTAGCTTTTAGCTATTTTTAGTTTTAGACAGCCATTTGCTACTTTAAGCTTTAAGTTAGCTTTTAGCTGTTTTTAGCTTTAGACAACTATTTGCTACTTTAAGCTTTTAATTAGCGTCTAGCTATTTTAAAATTGTCAATAGCCCTTTGCAATTTTAAGCTTTTAGTTAACTGTAAGCTACTTTTTTTACTTTTAAATAGCCATTTATTATTTTAAACTTTTTGTTAGCTTTAGCTATTTTGGCTTTAGACAACCCTTTGCTACTTTAAGCCTTTAAGTTGGCTTTTAGCTATTTTTAAGTTAGCTTTTAGCTATTTTTAGTTTTAGACAGCCATTTGCTACTTTAAGCTTTAAGTTAGCTTTTAGCTGTTTTTAGCTTTAGACAGTCATTTGCTACTTTAAGCTTTTAATTAGCTTTTAGCTATTTTAAAATTGCCAATAACCCTTTGCAATTTTAAGCTTTTAGTTAACTGTAAGCTACTTTTTTTACTTTTAAATAGCCATTTATTATTTTAAGCTTTTTGTTAGCTTTAGCTATTTTGGCTTTAGACAGCCATTTGCTTCTTTAAGCTTTTAGTTGTGACTATTTTTAACTTTTAGATAGCCCTTTGCAAATTTAGGCTTTGAGTTTGAGTTATTTTTAGCTTTATTTTTCTTTTCTTTTTCATTTAGCCTTTATTTATCCAGGTAGTCTCATTGAGCCACGAGAACTAATTTTCAAGAGAGACCTGTTTAGGAGCAGATGGGGGTTAAGGTTAAGGGCCTTGCTCGTGGGCCCAGGGTGGGGCAAATGAGGGTGGGGGCAGGTGTGCGTCCTTCACCTACCCCACCCACATTTTTGATGTTTTCTGTACCGGGGCTTGAACCGGCGATCTTCTGATCTCAGGCCCACCATCTCTAGCCTCTGTGCCACCACTCCCCCTTAGCTTGAGTTAATTTTAGCTTTACACAGCCAGTTGCTACTTTAATCTGTATTTTAGCTGTTTTTAGCTTTAGACAACTCTTTGCAACTTTAAGCTTTTCATTAACTGTAAGCCATTTTTTTTAACTTATATAGCCCTTTATTACTTTATGCTTTTAGTTAGCTTTAGCTATTTTGGCTTTAGACAGCCCTTTGCTACTTGATGCTTTTAGTTAGCTTGAGTTATTTTTAGCTGTGGACAGCCATTTGCTACTTTACAGCTAGACTTAGCTAAAAGCTTTCTTAAAGCTTAGACAGCCATTTACTACTTTACGCTTTAAGATAGCTTTTAGCTGTTTTTAGCTTTAGACAGCCAGTTGCTGCTTTAAGTTAGCTTTTAGCTGTTTTAGCTTTAGACAGCAATTTGCTACTTTAAGCTTTAAGTTAGCTTTTAGCTTTACACAACCATTTGCTACTTTAATCTTTAAGTTAGCTTTCAGGTGTTTTTAGCTTTAGACAGCAATTTGCTACTTTAAGCTTTAAGTTAGCTTTTAGCTATTTTAAAATTGTAAATAGCCTTTT